CCATCGCCACCTCCTCCACCTCCTCCTACTCCTACTCCTCACCTACACCTTCGCAAAGCTCTCTGTCATTCTTTACATACGTATTGTACACTCGTGCACAGAGGATACGTGTAGCCATACGCGCATACAGTTGCCTCTCGAAGGCTCCTCCACCGTCCATCTCCGAAGGGTTAATGGGGTTTCAGGAAAATTGCTTCGCGCCTAGTGACGGCTAGAAACGACTCTTGAACCTGGAAAATATTCAATCGTATCGTCCGCGAGCGAGAGAGAGAGAGAGGGGGGAGAGGGGGGAGAGGGAGGGAGATACGTTTAATACTCTCGCAAAGGATATGTAATCGTTAACGATCTTTATTGAAGTCGAGGAAAGTGTTACCGAGCGTTCGAGTAAATTGTATTTAGAGTGTCCATAGGACGCGAGATCTACAAGTGTCGAATGGTGGTCCGGTGGCTGCGCGTAGACTCGGTAATTACCGAACGGATCGGGAGGACCGAAGAAGAGCCCGTTCGCGTTGGGTTGCTTAATCGAAAAGTAAAAGGAGTCCCCGAAAGTGCAGGATAATGAAGACGTCTCGACTGGAAGGCATGCGTGCGCTTAATGATTTCGGGGCCAAATGATCCAGAATATATGGATAGCCCATTATTCCGTTACTCGTTTCTTCTCGCGGAGGATGATCGCGCCTTCGGTTAGGTTCGCCGTCGCCTCGCCATGGCTGCTTCCCCATGGTCTTCTGGCTGAAAGGTGGACTCGAGACTCTCGATACGATGCGTCTTGCGATCTAGCAGTCTCACCGTGGCGCGCAATATTATAACGTGCTGGTGCCCGGGCACCTCTATATACGCCTCTCTATGCCGGACAGATATAATGGCCGTAGCTGAGAGCAAGGCACGAACCGGGAATTGGATAATTGCGAACGGTTGAACCCGGGCCACGCGTAAACCACGCTCGGCCATGGGAATCGGAATGCTATTTTTTGGTGGTCTTACAACCGTGCAACCATCGAACCGAACCCGTAGAACCACGATAGCTTCGATTCGAGGCCCCGGGGACTTTTCGAGATAGTTACCGATCATCCGACTCCCAGTCGTCCGATGCTCTTCTACGACAGCTCTGTTATTTTAATTTTTGTTGATATAGCCTTTTTTTGGACTTTCCATTTTTTTTTCTTTTTCTTTTTTTTTGATCGATTTAATTCTTTCGATAGGTCCGATTATCTCGGAACGTCGCGACGACGAAAGTCATCGGCGATACATTAATTCGGTGAAGACGTCGGAGCGTTAATAACCCGAGGAAGCGATCGGTCGAGGCGTAGAATAAGAAAGTCAACCGATTTCCGTGAGAACCGGGGTAATCAAAAAGGCAATTCTCGCCGCTCGCCACGGAGGATCGGCGATCGGTGAAACGATCGTTGCGCCTAATGACCCGATCTCTGCATTTATTAGTGCCCATTACGAGCGATTGATGATGTATCTTGTCAAATTTGTCAACGGGTGCGAAACGGCCGTTGACATAATGATCCCTGCTGGCCAAGCGACTCGGACGCCGGCGAAACGACGTCCGATCTTTCTCAATTACGAAACCAAATGAAGAGGAGAGATCGGCGTCGCTCCTTCCTCGGCGATCGGCCAATCCGATCCTGTCTCCCGGAGGAGCCTAGAGGAGCCTAGAGGAGCCTAGAGGAGCCTATAGACTCGGCCATCTATCAGCCACTGAAATATGACACGCCATTCATCGCTGCCACTACCGACTGGATTTTATTCTCGAATCATTCATCCGACTCGATCATCCCCCTCACGATCGCACTCCTGGATCCTACGCGCATGCGCGCAAGTGAGATCGGCAGATCGCTCTTCGGATTATCGAACAGCAATTTACGGTTTAACGGCTCCGTTCCTGTCTCAGGCGAGGAGGGACCGTTTGGCGTCGTGGCGTTAAACGACGCCGATCCGTACGTCCCGTACGCTCCCATAAGGCGTCCCATAACGCTCTGATGCCGTCCATCCAGCAGGTTGCCGATCCCAATACGGTTTACGTCGGAACGCGTCTCGTTCCGATCGAACGCGGCCCAATTACTTTAAATTGAGTTATAACCGGATCAAATTGCCGATAATTGGCGATTGCATAGCTTAATCGGAGATCCCTACCTCCCGTCTCCGGTGGCTCCCTCTGGCTCATACGAACAAAAGTTGTTCCGCAAAATGTTCCCGCTCCTCCCCTGCCTTCCTGTTCTCTCCCTTTCTCCTCCGTATTCGCGTACTTACAGTCTTCCCGGATAGTACTCCCAGCAATACAAATTGCTGATTATGCGGGCAGCTTCGCTCATTGTTAGGCCGGTCTTCTCTAATTGGGCCGCTTTCGATCTCTTGGGAAGAAGATGCTGGAGATCGGAGCTTGTAGCCTCGTTAACCTCATCCCGCTTTCTCATAAGTTTAACTCGTCTTAAACTCAACCCCGCTGATTCGGTCTCGTTAAAAATATCTGAAAACGATCCCCCAAAAGTTTCGAATCCTCGAGGTGGATTGCGCGCAGGCCAACCACCCTCCTCCTAATGCGCATGCGCAGTTGCGCGTATGGGTATCCTGCAAATTTATGGCGCCGCTTCTTATTCTTCTCGCGTCCGAAGCAAGTAAGCGGCTCGACAGTAGCTGGCCTGTCCCGAGAGAATCCCAGGAGACCTGTTGACATCCTGGTTCGCATAATGTTCACTTTTTATCAGACTCGATACTGCCGCTACTTGCTAGTGCCTGGTGGCAGTGAAGATGCCAGCGGAGCACATGGATACCGATTTATAAGCAAAGGACGAGAGAAAAATGTCGCCGAGTACTGTTAGCCAGAGGTATATCAATATACAGCTCGGCGCGTCGCGAGGGCTACTTAATGATATTTGAAAGGTAAAGAAATCTATAAACACCAATGGATACTAGACGCCTGTAAATCTGCATTACCCACCGTGTCTCCTCGGTAGGACGATCCAAGGGTTCAGGATTCTGAGTCTGCACCTTGATAATCGGCTGTTAACATTACTTCGCAAGAGCCAGAACCAGAAGTCAGTGCGCGGCGCTTTGTGCGCCATGTCTCTCGGTCTCAATCTTGCCGGTTCTCTGTCTTCCAGTCATGTTGCCTAACTCATGCATAGAGTCATGACGGGTTTAAGCGATTGCTTATTGCGAGGTGGTGTAACCAGTCTCGGTGACGCATTGCCTCTCCTATAGGAGCCACGGCGGAGAGTCGGTGTAGCTACCACCTAGTACCAGTTATCAGATATCAGAGAGATATCATATAATCGTAAAATAATGATAAATCAAAGTGCGAAATAACGAAGGAGCACTGTGGCAACCATGGAAGACGCGCCTTTGGGTCTCATTGGACTTCACGTATAGCTGCGACGGTAGCGCATTGCCTGTCTGCCTTTAAACTAGCAGTCTCGAGTCTTATTGGCAAGGTCGGAAGGCACGATCCCGTCCGGCACATCCGTAAACTCCAAGATTTTGCAACGGCTCGTTTCCTGGTGCAATTGATTAATGGCGATTGCTGGCGGTAGCGATGCAGTCGATGCAGTCGATGCGCCTGCTGCTGCCGCTGCCGTATCAAGCAGGCGCATAAAGCCTCGAGCTTTCAAGGCTGCGCGTACCGGTAGTTCGGTACGAGTCGGGTTCCTCGATTTAAGCGAGGTGTTTCCCGATGCAATTTATACCGGTGATTTGCGTTGCCGTTCGCGATGCCGAGTCGGCGCGTCCGCATGTCGGCGTCCCTCGAACATGCGCCGCCAGCCTGGACTGTTGGATGCATGCGGTGTCGGTGGGCGTCGCGACGCTTCCCTCCTCCTTTATCGACCTCGTGCCTGACCTGCGTATCGGAGTGGATGAACGTTGGGGAATAGAGAAATTGGAGAAATTTTTTTTTTTTTCCATTAAAGAAAAATATTTATTTCGTCGATACACCTAGGTACTGGCCGCTCTTTCGTCACCGCTTACTTACTACTACTATTTACAGAGAACGCGTGGAATGGGGAATGTCGGGGGTGGGGGGAGGAATGTGAACGTGGGAAGTGAGAAAGAGATAGGGATAACAAGAAGAGTGATAAACGAGGAAAGGGGGAGAGTGAATGATGCGATAAAAAAAAAATAATAAAAATCGATCTCTTATTAGCTGAGAAGAAGGGGTAAACTTCCACCAAGCAGAAGGAAAGACGATGCTTGTGTAATTGATTTGTGAGCTATTTAGTGTTTTACCTCTTTGCTATTTTTTTTTCCTTTCTGTTTTTCTTTTCTTTTCTTCGTGGACGTTCGAAAATTATTTGAAAAAAAAAAAAAAAATGATATGTCCGTAAGACTTTACTGGCCTACCGTCACGTCAGGTCACAAATCAGAAATCCGAGTGCATTCGCGCTTAACTAGCTATATACCTAGATGGCTTAACTGCGTACACGTACGTTATGCCGCGTCCTCACGCCGCTGCTAACGGTTACATTAAATCTCTTGATATCCTAGGCGCTCGATCCGAACGTTGTAGGTATATATTAAGGCACTCCAACTACTGGCCGGTGTATCCGCGACTATACTCGTAAATATATAATATATACACACATGTTTATCTGCGCATCTATACGTACGTTGGTTCACATACATACGTTTACGTATATACAAAAAGCTATACAGAAATACTAATCCGTATGTATATACTATATGTATATATGTAGACATACATAACACCAGTGATCGTAATTATAATAATAACGATCTTTCCTCTAGCTACTATGAGAATAAATTAATTGGCTTCGCGAGTCAGTGGCGATATGTACAGATTGAACACATTTTCGTGATTGGGGCTTTTGCGACTGGCCTAATTCCCCTCAAGGGATCCACTTCCGGTCCCGTGACAAGTGCAACGAGCTCTGCTCGATTTGCTGCTGGATCCTGCCGCTCGTTTCGAAAGCGCGCGCTTCCGGCTGTTCGTTACACGCGGGAAGACACGGTTCCTCGGTGCAGTCGACCTTCCGCTTCCGATCGACCAGACCCGAAGAGGCTCTCGTGCGCGCCGTTAGTCTTTCTCGTAAATCTCGACACCCTCCCAGGGTCACATGTCAAATGTTTCCTAGAGGGAGAGGGGGAGCTCTGCCGGCCTCTTAACTCCCAGGGTCAAATCCAGGGGTTTGCTCTTGGTGGTGGCTTCCTCCTTGGCCGGGGCGTCGCTCTCCTCCTCCGCTCCCGGATTGTTCTCCTCGGCCGACTGGCTCGGACGTGGGGAACTTCTGCTGGAGCGGACGCTCAGGTCGATCGGCTCGTCCTGCTCCACCGCGAGGCCACCGGGACTCGGACTCACCAGAAGCAGATCGCCACCCCGCGGCGAATGCTGAGAGGCTGCCGGGGTGACCAGTCCTGGCGGTGGATAGATCATCTGATGAGGATGATACCCTGTGGTCAGCGTGACCGTCGCGTTGATCTTCCTGGGAGGGAATTCTCGTTCGGAGAGTGGGGGGGAGGCGCTTATCTTGAAGTAGCTCAGGGCGGAATTGCTCCTGGACTCGTCGTGGTCGCCGTCGACGGAGGAGGCGCCACTGTCGCTCGGGGTATCGGCAGTCCTCTTGTAGCCCGGAAGGAACGGCCGGAAGACTTCCGGCGGACTCGAGGGCAGCTCCTTCTGGACGAAGTTCACGGGGAACCTGGGTGACGTCGAGGCGGGGTGCTTGTAGCAGTAGGAAGCCGGCGGTGGAGGTGTGGTCTCGCGCGGTGGAGTTCCAGGTGGCTGCTGACTGGCCCTCTTCTGCCAGGCCAGGAGCCTCAGCTGATTCTGCAGGGCCACGTCGTCAGGGTGCGGCGACTTGTTGCCGCGTTCGCGTTCCTGCTTGAGCATCGCCACGTGGAGCAAGTGAGACTGGAGGGCCAGGTCCTCCTGGCTGGGCGACGCCCGGTCCTTGCCGTCCTTTACGAACGCGCCAGGCTGCGACTGCGCAGCCTGGGGCGTCAAGAATCCAGGAAACAGTCCAGGATTGTAGGCAGACCCGGGTGCTCCCGCGGCTTGGCCGCTATTCGTCTGTTCCTGAAGCAGGCAGTGGATCTTGAACCAATTCGATCTTCGCCCGTATCTCGATCCTGACTTGGACATTCCCACCATCAGGCACTTGCGCAGGCGGCACGCCTTGCACGCCGTCCGATTCTTCTTGTTGATCACGCAGACCCCGCCGTTCTTGCACTCGGAGATGCTCCCCAGGTTGTTGTACGTTCTGCCGAAGAATGACTGCAACAGAGAGTAGGGAAACGCCCCGTTAGGTCGGCTGTGAGAAAAGGTCACTGGGAGGGGAGTCCTACGGTGAGAATTCTATAACGGCAAGTCGCCCGAGTCAGTCAGCTGCGTTCGTAAAGCGATCCTAGCGAGTCAAGTAAATTAATCGAGTCCACCGCTGGACCTAATCAAGAGTCCGGCAGCCCACTACAGAGCGGAGCTAAGTGTCCGTACGTCGACGCACCGGCGCGCAGAGACGTTCACATGCACCGACGCTCTGACGTACTCGGACGCGCGTTCACGCACCTCTCCGCCGGATTAGGCTTTGGACTTTAATGTTACGCGCGTCACGAGAATTAGCATGCCCACGTCTCTCTAGGCTTCTCGGCAACATCGTGCTCGCTCGTAAAGTTAAACGCTTGTCTCGCTCGACGATAAAACTCTTCTCGAAAAGCCGCCTCGAGGGCCCCGCGCGAGCGCGGTCATCGCGCACTAATTTACGATCCTCCGTCTCCTGCCTCCTTCTTCCCTCCCTCCCTCTCCCCCCTACGGCCCTCGTACGGGTACTACCGATCCCAACGATACTGCCGATACGGCCAACGCTATCAGCGCCGGCACCAGCATCGACGAGCCCTCGTGGAGACTTTCGATAATCCGTCGTCCATTAAGGAGAACCCGTCGATGACTTTTATGGAAATAGCAGATTGTCACTGGTATAATGTATACACGGGGAAGCGATGCTCTCGAGGATGATCTCTGACCAGAAGACCAGACTGGGATCGCTCGACGTGGAGGCGAGACGCGTAGGCGAGAGTAACGGGTCAAATTCCGAAGGTCCGAGTAACGGGACAGTCACGAATTGAGAATAACGTTTGTTTCCTTCGCGATTCCGATGCTTCGGGCCGGGAGGGGTCGGGGAGAGATAACAGCTGCCGTACAGGTACTCGACTTTGCAGGCCTATCAAATACACGTGTAGAGATGTACGGATTGATACGTGCTTCCATAGGCCTATACATCAGCGTGAAGCTGCGCCTCGCAATCTTCTGGTAGCGATCTAAGATCTTAGTCGAGCGGGGTTGTAATGGCGCTCGTACGCCAGATGATCCGTGGCTGTCACTGTGGCTACGTGAAAGAGGCTAAGGCGCCGCCATTGCTCGGAAGACGTGAGACTCGGTGGCTACGTCACTTCCGCCTAAGAGGCGTCCATCGTCTGCTCGATCGTCATCTTATCCACGAAGGTCCAGTCGTCATTCGTCCCTCCGAGCCGAAAGACGTCACGACCCAAGGATCCACCGCGTTGCGTAACGCGCGCCTTGTACGTTTTCCAAGTTTCTTTCTGAAATACAATTCCTGATGCCAGCGGGAATACTTGAAACGTGAACAGGTCCAGTGGAAACGCTCCAAGCTATAAACGAGCTTTACGCGCCATTTAGGGGTGTCTGCGACAAATCCGTCGATCCGAGGGACGCTGCTCGGATTATCTCAAATCAGTCGGCACGCCCGGAATCCTGGACCGATTTGTAACGCCATAAAACGAGCCGGAAAATCTTTGTCCCTCTGGCGACAACGCGCCCAACTCGTACGGCGATCGGCCAATGGGCGAGTGCAGGTCGATCGGGTGGAGGCGAGTACGAGGAGGCAGGTCGGGAGGAAGGAAGGAACTCGGGGAATCCCCGAGGAGAGGCGACCACGTGGCGGAGGGTTCCCGAGGGAGAGAATGGACGGTCAATAGTTGTTCGGTTTCACGGGAATGGAATGTCATCGGCATGACGGTCGGTAAGTCGATCACTCGAGCTGCGACAATTTCCTGGGAAAAAACGGCGCGCACGACATTTTCCCGCACGTGATGGGAATCGAGCGAGGATTTCTAAAGCAGAAGTCGTTGTAAACACGCTCCCGGTGTCTTCGATTGCTTCTCCCTCGGGGACTCTTTTCTCTCGCTCCGAATGTATATGCGTATCGGAATCCGCATCCGAGAATCCAAGTATAAGCGCGAGGACCACGCGAGTCCCTACGAAAGGATGCTTCGACCCGATTGTCCGGTACTTATAAAATTGGCTTCGCTTCCGTGAAAGTAATAAGAAGCGAGCGACGTGCCGCGACCTTTCTCTTTGAACGCGTACCGGGACCGAGCGATATCGTACACCGGGGGCTCACTCGCTCGCTCGATAGATCTTTACTTTTTGCCCGTGCAACTGCTACGAGTAACTTCGCTACAGGTAGGCACTAATTATAGACCCGTAAAAAAGAAAAAGAAAAAGAAAAAGAAAAGTAGGAACGACGATCCTTTATATCGCCGGTTAATATCAGATATTTGGATCCACATTGAAATCGGATTCCCCGATGGTCCATGAGGTCCAAAACAGCAGACACAATGGTTACAAGCATAACAGCCGTTATGGTTGTCCACTATAATCGAACGGAATCCGCAGTCTCGTATCCGCGCATTGACTATAGAGCGAGTGGAGTAAGTGGAGTGATAATAGAGGATGGAGTATACAGACTCCGGATACACAAGAGTTTGCGTAGAGTCGGCCAAGAGTCATCCTAGAGTCGATGTATAGTCGCTCGGGCACCTGTGCCCGTCGGATACTCCTCTCTCTGTCCCACCCACGCGACCATCCCTCCCTCCGTCTCTCTCCCACCAACGCTGACTCCCGGCCAATGTATCGAGAGTCGGTCCATTTCACCCATTCCTCTCTCTCCTTCTCTCTCTCTCTCGCTGCTCTCTTCCATGGCTACCATCTCTCTCGAGCGCGAACTTCTAGCTGGCTCTTCGTCTCGGGCATTTCTCCGGCTCTCTCTCTCTCTCTCTCTCTCTCTCTCTCTCTCGGACGCGTATCAACAATCTATATTAAGGACGTGGGAATGTGAAATGGCCTGTCCAGCTCTTCGCGACGGAGGAGAGCCCGCGAGGAGTCGGTGTGCCAGTCCTCGTGTCTGCTGTCTGGTCGATCAGGGGGCCTCGTGGTCTCATGGTCCGATGGTCTCGTGTCACACGTCTCTCGGGTGACCCGTCACCTCCGAATCCTCGAGCGGGAACTTTAGCTTGGCAGCACTGATCAAATCGTCTAATTGCGGGCCTCGGGTTGCCTTCCTGCTTGGACCACTAGCGATACTCTGTGGGAACCTGATATTGCGACGTCCGTTTCATCCACTCGTTATATCGTATTAGCTAACTACGTTTTTGTCTTCGCCATCATTCTGCCGCCTCCTTCAGTCGGTCGTGCTCGTATCAATAGAAAAAAAGGAGAAGTCTCGAGCAGGAGCTCCATTGATTTCTACGAACTGTTTCGAGGGACTCATTAACACCTCGCGCGCATGACATTAGCACATCAATGCTCTCTGAGGAAACTCTCTTTTCATTTTATTTTTTGTTTTCACGTCTCCTCTCCTCACGACCTCTGACTCTCCCGACCTCCTCTCCGATCACCTCCGATCTTTTACAATCCCCCCCTCTCTCTCCCTCTCGCTTGACCCAATCAACGTTACTCTTCTCGGAAGCCAGGAGCATCATCCGCCTTCGTCCGATGCTGCTCCAGAGCATTTCCTTCCTCGTAGCATTCCCCGGGCGTGACTGGACGCCCACCCGAACTGGATCTCTACCGTCATCCGGGCCTCCCTGGAACAAATGCCGACGGATGATTCGCTCCGGTTTGCCCGAGGATGACTCGGCAAAGGAATACTTGCGAACCAGGGCTCGTGACTGTACGCGATATAATCGACGCGGAGGTGGATCCACTTTTTTTGGCAGTGGCCCAAGATCGCGCAACTGGAACACGGGTCCCAGGTGGAGCGCTGCTTCCCAGAGTGTCGTCTCTGATGTCACCCACCGGAGACCTTGGCGACGTGTGTCCAGCATGCCCAATGATCCTCGTTCCCAGAGCACTCTTGTTTTCGCTTACACGGAAATTTCAAAAGTTCACGCGCGCGCACGTGTCCACGTGGGCGAGCGGATGAATTAATGCGAAAGAGGTAAAGGAGGTGGTCTTCCCGGAAGAGGTCTTCGGGACGACTCAATGATTCCGAGGACGCTGAGATAAGAGTGAGTGGCCGAGTTGTGGCTGCCGTTGCTGGTGCAGCTACCGTGCAGCGCAAGAAGGCATCGCGCGCGGTTCTCGCAAAAGGAGTCGAAGGAAGGATGACTTGGTGGAGGTGAATAAGGAGGACGCGATATCGGATGGAGGAGGACGAGAAGGAGGTCCGAATAGGGAATAAAGAGGCGCCTCCGCGAGCCGCTCGAGTTGGCCCAACTGTGGCGGTTATGGTAAAGACACGGGAGCGGCAAGATCGTACGTCAGAATTTTTACCAAGTACCAATATGGCCGCGAAGGATTTGTCTTCGTAGCTATTTGCTTGCATTAGTTTCTCGATTGCTCCGGGCGACGCCGATGGAAAATGGCTCTGGTTCTGTCTCTCTCCTTCTGGACCGGACTCGGCACTTGGACTCTGAACGTCGCGCACTGGACTGTCGTTCCGTCTTGCGCGTCCTCCATATATCCGTCCAGCGGACCAACCGATCCAGCCAACGATCCTACGATCGACGAACGGACCCAGAGAGGCTGATGCATGCTCAGCCATTGTGCCTATCGGATGAATACTCCGTTCCTTCTATTTTCTTTCGATTTTTTTTTTTTTTTTTTTTTTTTTTTTTTTTTTTTTTTTTTTTTTTTTTTTTTTTTCTTTTTTTTTCTTACAAGGACTGACTGACATTTCTCCTGTTACCGCATTCGCTCTTTTGCTCAATAAAAAAAATGATCTCGTTTCTTTACGATCCTCGCCGATGTCCAATCAGGAACTTGTCGTACCGATCTTGGTACGCACGATCGGTTTTACCACAGTCTCGTAGACAGTAGAATTCTCTTGTCGAGTGAAAGCTACGTTATTAGAGGGTCTCTTGTCGAGTCCGGCTGAGCGCATCTTCACTTCCGGCGACGTCCCAACAAGGCTCGAGAGCACTTTTGCTCAATTAGTTTCGGTACCGGGAGGCCGAACGGTCATAGGAAGCTCATAG